TTATCATAACTTTATATTTAGACAAATAGGCGGGAAGTTCATAAATATACAATCTTCAATAATCAAGGATGTAAATTAGCAATTTATCTCGTACCAATATGACAAGAGATTTAATTATACAATTATATAAATAAAATATTAGATTAATATATTTTGGTTTTAAATACTGATTGGCCATTTCAAATTCAATATGATCTAATGGTTTCAATGGAAAGAAAATGAAAAGAAAATAGGGAAGCCACACTTGCATACAAAATTCTTACTCTAAATACATACGTTAATTATATAAGCCATTAAATATTACGTGAAAGGCATAAACTCATTTGTAAACCTTGTAAAATGTAAGACTATTAAACATATATTTTTCTAAAAAAATCAATATTTAATTGGCTCTATCAAGGATTGTCTAAACTTTGAAAAAGAAAAAAAAAGGTTATCGGGACATAAAATATTCAATCCTAAATAAGTAAAATAATACGATCTTATATATATATATATATATATGACTCTTGCGAGACAAAGAATCCAAAAGTTGGAACTCCAATTTAGGAAAATGGACCATAATTCTCAGAATTATTCAAGTCAAAAAGTATTACAATGAATATATTGAGACAATTCCTCCTCATTTAAAAATTTAGTTATTAACTACCATATAAGGTAATTGGGGCTATGGAATACTTAGATCTTGTCCATAAACATGTATGCATAAATTAACTTTCAGTGATTAAAATGATTACTTAAGAATATTTTAGAAATTGTTTAAGTTATTTATCATTCATATTACATAGAGAATTATAAACACACAAACCCTTAATCAACTATCATTAGTTATCTCTTAACACATAAATTATAACAAGAACACCAATAATATATTTTGCATGCAGTACATGCAATAACTACTTATAATTTGGGCACCTAACATAGTTGAAAAGTCCCCCTTTATTTTATTTTTTTGTGAACAGTAACATGGGTACTGTTTCACGTGTGAACAGTACCTGTGTGTACTGTTCACGCATGAACAGTAACGGAAGTGACTTTTTTAGAACACTTAGCTCTGATACCAAACTGTGACAACCCCAAAAATAACATTTAATTCAAAACTTTATTTAAAATACAAACTACAAATTATCATTTGCAAAAAAACATGTACGCAAATTTTTTCATAAAAAAAATGTCTATTGCAATAAACTTAAAATAAAAAAAAATTACATGCCAACTTAGATTTTTATCCAGCGAAAACAAGGCACAAACACACTGTCGAACCACCACACTCCAAAACAACCCGATCTAACCTATGAGGTGTAGGGAAAAATGATGAGTACATGGGAATATTCAGTATGATATAAAAATTTTAATGGTGCGATCCCAATTAATAATTTTAAAGACATATGTTAGAATATCATACTGTTTCATATTTTTAAAAATCCGGTAAGAGCTCATAACATATCATATCATATCATTTCGCCGAAATGGCCATATCATTTATATCATAACATTTCATAACATAACTTTAACTTTCATGAGTACAAAATTCATCAACGTATAAAAAAAAATTAAACAGGACATAAAACACAACACCTTAATATCCGACATTGATTGGTGATAAGGATCGTTGGAAGACAAGCAAAAAATCCACGTTCACAAAAATTCTCTAATGCAATGCGTATTTATCCAAGCAGTGTATTATAATTTTATTCTATTTCTTATTCCATTTATGGCATAATACAATTCACTTCCAAAATATTTGCATCGTCATAAAATCACATGTTGCCTCTTTCTCATGTAATTGGATCAATTTATTGGTTGTCCTTCAATTTTACACGTGTTTGCCAAATTTTTCAGAACTTTGCTACATGTACGTTGGCGTGTACATAAAGGTGTCCATAATGGACACACTTATGTACACACCAATGTATAACAAGAATAATCCAATTTTTTATATTCAGACATGGCAGCTTACCTAATTCTACAATACAATTCACTCTTTTGGTGGTCCAAAGCATGATATGTCATGTACTATGTCAAAAGTACGAAATATACTATATCCCTTTTTCTTTTTCTTTTTAATTAAAAACAACATTTTACCTAACCCCTACTCAATCTACGCTAGAATTGCACCATTTATAAATTCAAGATAAGTATAAATAATTACCAATATTTGATAAGGACTATAAACTTTATTATCTTGAGTCTAACTTATTCGAATCAACTTTTTATCGAGCCTAACATACGTAATTAATTACGAGCTATCCAACGAGCTCAATATTGATATATTTTTCATTACTCTATCACTAATTAAATATTTGACCCAAATAAAATTTAATATATATATATATATATATGTCTATGTGTGTGTGTTATTTTAGTCCCCCAACTTTCCAAGTTTAAAACATAGTATATGAAATAATTATTTCCAGTAAGTAAAAATTTTCGGGACTTTATAAGATATTGATAAGACTGCATCAAATTATTTATGTTGACAACCATGTAATCAACATGACATATTCATCTTTTTCTTTTTTCTTTTTTGAAAGTAAGACATAATTTTTTTTTTTCTATCTTCACTTAGTTAACAAATTTTATAATGGTATGTTCCATTACCCCCCAAAATGATTCAAACCATTATAAAATAAAAAATCCCATTTACGTAGCTTACTAAAATAAACCCTATAGGTTGTTTACAACTAAAGTATATCTACTCTATCAAGAAAGATTTACTCATATATTTTAATGATGATTATCTCATAGTTAAAAAGAATAAAATCTTTAACGTTCATTTCTCCTCTTTTGGTCTACACACCCCCTCCCCCACCCTTTTTTGGGGGTGGGGGGTTTCACAAGTTCACCGACCTTCTTATTGCCCATTATTATTATAAGATAACTCGACCATATGATAGAGTGAGTACCAGTAAAATGTATAGCATTTATTACATGTTATGTGCCGACCTAACATCGTCGGAGAGTCTTCTTCTAAAAATGTCAATTGAAAACCAAATTTTGCGAATAAGATTCATATAGTCAATCAGACTAAATCATTTGTTTTATCATTGAAGTCACTTTAGTGGTGAGACTATGGAAACAATGCATTTTCATATTCAAATCCTATTAAGTACTTCAAGGTATCTTGACAGAACCGCAATATTAGTATTTTTTAAGTTTTTGGTGGACATATATCGATAGTAACTCTTAAAACTCTTCCAAAGTGTGATATCAGGGAATGAAGATTTTAGAACGTGTGCCTCATATCACCCACTCACATGTACGGCTGGCATTCTTTCTTGGATCTAGGTTTAGTTTTTATCAAAACAAAATCATAACAGCAAAGCAAAAAGAGCTTATTTTCTACAAAACATTATACATTTTAAGAATATTTTTCTATTAGGATTGCATGTGCCTTGTGCGTCAATTAAGGGAAATGGATTTTCACGCTGAAAATGACTCTCGAACCGTGTCAACTAATCAATAATAACCCCCACCAGTTTTGTCAATTATTATTGTTAAGAATTGAGTGGTTAATTTAAGCTTAGCATATGATTATAAGCTGTAAACAACTTATTTTAATAAGAGTCAAAGTACTTATTATTATATGATGTCCTTGATTAGGGGCAAACGAAAATAATGTAAGGAAATTGAGAGAAATTTACGCAGAATTGTGAAAAATCAACAAATATAGTGAATAAAATTTTAGTCATTGCACACAAGCTTGAAATTTTAGTCATTGTACCATGCGTGCTATGTGGGCGACCTCATAAGCTAGAAATGACACCACTTAAATTTTTTCGTACTGAGTCGAACGAGATAAGGGTTTGATAGTCTTTTTTCATAACTCAGTATAAATCTTTTGAATTCAACCTCAGGTCAATTCAAGGCGGTCGGTCAACTTTCGAGTTTGAATTTATCTAACTGGAAAACCTCAATTTTAATGGCAAAATACCCTTGAAACTGACCATCCAGACAACTCGACTTAGTTTTTTGAACCATTGAATTCGATTTTTAAGTTGGGATTTCATCCTATTCGAATTGGGCCAAACCTGACCTCTCAGATCCCTACCCACTTCTACTCTTTTTATGTCGGACCATGCTAGTTGTACACCGGGGTGTCTCAGATCCCTACCAACTCCTACTCTTTTTACGTCGGACCATGCTAGCTGTACATCGAGGTTGACCGACCCCCTCACAATAGGGGGGCCCACAATTTTTTTATTGGTTGTGAGCCCCCTTGTTGTGAGGCGTCGGTACACCGGGTGTACAACTATCAAAATCCTTTTACGCCTCTAACTAAGGTAATATTTTTGGCAAAAAGTTAGCTTAGCCAACGGTCACGACCAATGCAACCTCCTCATATGGCCAAACAAGCTGTACTTTACACATGCCTAACCTAAACATCTATTTAGGGATCCACTTAATTTGTATTAGATAAATTAAGATCCTAACTTAAATTTATAAATTTACAATAGGATAATAAATCAGTTTAATTAAAAGAAAATCTATTATGGGGGTTATGCATCGAGGTTTAAAATCTGTTTCTTTTTCATTAATTATGGGTTATCCTGTAAAATAAATTATCGTTGAGGAGAAGAAATGAACAAAAATCCATTGAAGTCGTGCGAAATACTATTGATTAAAATTTTGTCAAAACTAATTTCTCGTTCAATCTACTTCGTGCCAGACATTCATATCTTATGTCATTGTATATTGGAATCTCTTGTTCAATCTAATCAGTGCCCAACATGCCATTCGTCATCACACTTGTAGATTATTCTGCGCATTTAATTATCGTTCGTCACTCAAAATATAGAGAAATCATCCGACTCGGTGGGAGATATTAGTTTATACAAGAAATTACTAAATGTTCGGATTTTAAAAGTAAATTTTGTTAGCGAATTAAACGAAATTTTCTGAAACTTCTTTACGTGTTCAGCTAGACAAACAAGAAGAAGAAGAAGGAAAAAAAGGAATTAAATGGCTTGTATTAGTATTATTAGGGTGAAACAAACGAATTAATTTGCAATTTCTCCTCTCCTTTTACGATGTCTTCAAATTTTACAGCATGAAGGGGGGGAAAAACCCTAATTTTCTTTTGCTACAGAATTTCAACACAATGTATTTACAGAGGGGAAACAATGATCTGAAAACTATACGATCATCGTCAGGTCAGCACAGGCAAATCAACACTGTAGAATATTCTCCAATTAGTTACTTTACTCAGCTAATCTTACCGACTGGTACAAGTCATCGGAGAGTGACCCTAGGAGATCACGTGATTGGCCGCCGGCTCGCAGAGCCTCAAGCACCTGCTCAAACAGGAACACGTGACAGGGTATCCGCAGCACGCCTTCCTGCTCATACCCGTATTCCTGCGCCGATCTATTGAGCAATTTTACAAAAATCGGATGATTCAAAAATTCGGCGCTCACTACGAATCGCTCCATCTCCTCCCCAACGTACACCGGAAAGTGCCCCTTCGGTACGCCGCCGGAACCTTTTCGGAACGACTCCGACCGACGAGGCCGCTCCTTCCTTGACTCCGACCGCAACATACAGTACTGCGAAGAATCCGCCACTCTTGATAACCTTCTTATCAGTTTCTCCATATTCTTCAGAGATTTCTGTGTTAATTTAGAGATAGTGAAGATAGGCCGAGAGAATGGGGTATAAATACAGGTAAGATTCGCGTAAAGAATTAATGTTACAGGAAGGTACGGATAGGAGTACTTGGTAGGTACCACATAAATTCGAATTCTTTTGAAAAATAATTAATTAAAATTAAAAAAATATTGAACTGATAAAGATTTTGAAAAATAAACTGTCCTCGTCTGTCAAACTTCAAATTTATTTAAGATGTGGAATTGAAAATTAATTATTGACTTTAATTTTAGTTAAAGTTCGAATTTTAATCACTACAACACAGGGTCAAGGCTTGTTAGAGAATTATTTATTTTATAAATATAGCTGAATAAATCACTTTTTATTTGCACATTTGTGAGATCTACAAATACTGTCAATTTTTACACTACTCGTTTCTGTAATCACTTCCTAAACATGCACTAAATGATTTTATTAAATTTCTCTATAGTTATACTTTGTGTGGCGAATATGACCCAATTTTTTTTCAACATAGTTAATTGAATTCTTTTTTATCGTTGATATTAAGTCGGCATGACTCTGTTTTAAATTCATTTTTAATCACACATTTTATTAGACTCGCAAAAATTATCAATTTTTCAATTACATATTTGATTAGTTTTTATTAAAATTTACTAAAAATTTAAATTTTAATTAAATCAAATGAGAACTAAGTCATGTCTCCATTTCTCGTCACCTCCCTCAATCCTACACATGCTCGACGACGATATTTACATGTAGAATTAGTTCAACATATTAGTCAATTAAAGTAAATTTAATATAACTAGAAAAAGAGAGAAAAGAAAGGGACAAGTGCAACAAACGTTGAGGGCGTGATTCCAGGCCGCGCCTGTCACGTCTGTCTTTCTTTGGTTTTTCCCCCTTTTTTATTTTTATTTATTTTTTCCCGTAATCTATTTTCGTACACCATCCGTGATCCGTAATGGATGTTACTTTAACGTCTTTATTTACCGTTCACTTTCCCCCTATCATCCAGCCCTTATTTTGACTCCATTTTTATTCCTGAATCGTTATTTATATTCACGATTGTCATATGTTCATTTCACTCTATAATTATTTTTTATTAAAATTTTAAAAAAATGTTATTTTAATCCATATCACATTCCAATTTTATCCTTATTAAATTCATTCATTTAAATATTATAAATCCACACGAATGTAACGCATTCATTCCAATTTTAATACAATTTCAAATCTTTGTTTGATGACCATTATTTCATAAAAATGAATTTTGTAATAGTAAAAGTTTGAAACATGTGTGTTTAAATTTTTTTTTTTTTAAAAAAACGTTTAAATGCAAATTATTATATTGTAAGAATATATGGTTAAAAATGAATTTTAAAATAATGAAAATCAAATAGAGGCTATATAGAATGACTTTAAATTTACTCGATATATTTAGTCTATGTTTGATTTAGCTAATTAAATGTTTTTATAAATTTTGATAATAATAATAAAATGAATGTTGAAAAATTAATAAAAATTACGGATTTTATGAAATGTGATTACAAATGATTTTGAGAAAAAAAGAGTTTTAGAAAATGGAGGTCAAACGAGAACTTGTATTTGACAAAATAATATCGAATACGATAGTTTAATTATTTGGTATTGCTTTTTTCCATTAATCTCGTCTAATCTTATCTAATGTTATAGTTCAAATGTTTCAAATACCTAAAAAAAAATTAGTCTCTTTAAAATTTGAAGGTCAAAAAAAATTTAATTCATACATTTTACAATATGTAACTATTACTCATTTATATATCATAATTTCTGTCACAATATAATTTTATCAACTTATAATTTTATCCAAACAAGTACTTATCCACCCTTGGGGCCCCTAGTAGTTGAATTGTTTTTCACCTTTTTTAGCGAAAGTTGAAATTCATTGATACGGTTGTTCCTCCTTTTATGTACTTAGGATTCTTGACATGCCTCGAATCCAATAAATTTGCCACCCACTCCCAACAATTTTTGACACTTCATAATTCTTTTGCACCAAATCTATTCAATTTTTTCGAAAAATTGATACTTGTCTATTTGCCAAATTTGCATAAAACACAAGAAAAATTCGTACACTTTTTATTTGAAAATCGGCTTAGCATTTCGAGTAGAGAGAAGAAGAAGAAGAAGAAGAAGAAGCAAAGCTATATTTATGTTATTCGTTAAAACAATTTTTTTCTAAAAATTATGCCTCTGTTTGGTGAGGATTAAAATCGGATTTTTTAGTAGATTTTAGTTGAAGTTGATGAAATATGTGGTTGAAAAGTTATGAAACCCATAAAATATGTAATGGAAATGAATTGTTGACTTTGACCAAAATCAAACTAAATGTATTGTCTAAACATTGAAAATTTATGTCAATTAATGATTTTTAGAAGGGCATTGACATGACCACTCTTTAGTGTAAGACCATCAATTACATTCGTTTGTTTTGTTCTACTCCAATAATCTAATTTTTCGATAGTGGAACACATTTCCTTTAATAGAAAATGCCTTGACACGTTAGTGTTGTTGGATTAAGTTTTGTTATGGATGTATTGTTCTTCTATATATTGAAATGTCGAATTTATTTAAGGTATCTTCATCGTGAATGTGATAAAACCGACAATTTATTTAAGGTATCTTTATCATGTTAGGGAAGTCATGTCTCCATTTCTCGTCACCTCCCTGAATCCTACACATGCTCGACGACGATATTTACATGTAGAATTAGTTCAACATATTAGTCAATTAAAGTAAATTTAATATAACTAGAAAAAGAGAGAAAAGAAAGGGACAAGTGCAACAAACGTTGAGGGCGTGATTCCAGGCCGCGCCTGTCACGTCTGTCTTTCTTTGATTTTTTCCCCCCTTTTTTTATTTTTATTTAATTTTTTCCGTAATCTATTTTCGTACACCATCCGTGATCCGTAATGGATGTTACTTTAACGTCTTTATTTACCGTTCACTTTCCCCCTATCATCCAGCCCTTATTTTGACTCCATTTTTATTCCTGAATCGTTATTTATATTCACGATTGTCATATGTTCATTTCACTCTATAATTATTTTTTATTAAAATTTAAAAAATATATTATTTTCATCCATATCACATTCCAATTTTATCCTTATTAAATTCATTCATTTAAATATTATAAATCCACACGAATGTAACGCATTCATTCCAATTTTAATACAATTTCAAATCTTTGTTTGATGACCATTATTTCATAAAAATGAATTTTGTAATAGTAAAAGTTTGAAACATGTGTGTTTAAATTTTTTTTTTTTTAAAAAAACGTTTAAATGCAAATTATTATATTGTAAGAATATATGGTTAAAAATGAATTTTAAAATAATGAAAATCAAATAGAGGCTATATAGAATGACTTTAAATTTACTCGATATATTTAGTCTATGTTTGATTTAGCTAATTAAATGTTTTTATAAATTTTGATAATAATAATAAAATGAATGTTGAAAAATTAATAAAAATTACGGATTTTATGAAATGTGATTACAAATGATTTTGAGAAAAAAAGAGTTTTAGAAAATGGAGGTCAAACGAGAACTTGTATTTGACAAAATAATATCGAATACGATAGTTTAATTATTTGGTATTGCTTTTTTTCCATTAATCTCGTCTAATCTTATCTAATGTTATAGTTCAAATGTTTCAAATACCTAAAAAAAAATTAGTCTCTTTAAAATTTGAAGGTCAAAATAAATTTAATTCATACATTTTACAATATGTAACTATTACTCATTTATTTATCATAATTTCTGTCACAATATAATTTTATCAACTTATAATTTTATCCAAACAAGTACTTATCCACCTTTGGGGCCCCTAGTAGTTGAATTGCTTTCACCTTTTTTAGCGAAAGTTGAAAATCATTGATACGGTTGTTCCTCCTTTTATGTACTTAGGATTCTTGATATGATATGTGCCCCCAAGGCACATCTTCAATTGATAAAAGGGGAGGGTGGAGAAATTCAGCTTTACTTGAGACTGCTGCGTCAACGGTTCGAATCCTGAAATATGAATTTGGCTCTTGAGTAAGTGCAAGTGTACAAGCAGCCTTCCACCCTGTACCCTTGGAGGCATAACCTGCGATTTACCTCCTTCATGATGCTTCAGGGCAGGGGCGGTGGGGGACCCTTAAGGTTGGGGTTCAACCTTTTTTTAGGATTCTTGATATGCCTCAAATCCAATAAATTTGCCACCCACTCCCAACAATTTTTGACACTTCATAATTCTTTTGCACCAAATCTATTCAATTTTTTCGAAAAATTGATACTTGTCTATTTGCCAATTTTGCATAAAACACAAGAAAAATTCGTACTCTTTTTATTTGAAAATCGGCTTAGCATTTCGAGTAGAGAGAGAAGAAGAAGAAGAAGCAAAGCTATATTATGTTATTCATTAAAACAAAATTTTTTCTAAAAATTACGCCTCTTTTTGGTGAGGATTAAAATCGGGGTTTTAAATAGATTTTAGTAGAAATTGATGGAATGTATGGTTGAAAAGTTATGAAACCCATAAAATATATAATTGAAATGAATTGTTGACTTTGACCAAAATCAAAATAAGTGTATTGTCTGAACATCGAAAATTTATGTCAATTAATGACTTTTAGAAGGGCATTAACATGACCGCTCTCTAGTACAAGACCATCAATTACATTCGTTTGTTTTGTTATACTCCAATAATCTAATTTTTCGATAGTAGAACACATTTCCTTTAATAGGAAATGCCTTGACATGTTAGTGTTGTTGGATCAAGTTTTGTTATGGATGTATTGTTCTTCTATATATTGAAATGTCGAATTTATTCAAGGTATCTTCATCATGAATGTGAAACCGACAATTTATTTAAGGTATCTTTATCATGTTAGGATTATATTAGAGTTTTTGAAGAATGTGGACAACAAGTAAAAGCCACTATTTAGAGGGATTCAATTATTTTATTTGGTGGAATTCAGTTTTCTACAATTTAATTGGTGGAATTCCATTTAGGATTGTCCCAAATTCAG